CTCTCTCTCTCTCTCTCTCTCTCTCTCTCTCTCTCCGGCCCACCCCTCCGGCCCTCCGCTTTTTTTTTTTTTCTGCTTTGTCTCCTTGACTGACTCTCCCTTTCTCTTTCCTACCCATTTACTTTGCCCCCTTTTCTCAACTCTCTCTCTCTTGCCTCTTTTCTTTTCTATTTTCTCCCTGTTTGACTCTCTCAGTCTCCCACAATTTTACCTTTCCCCCTTTTCTTAAATCTCTCTCTCTCTCTCTCTCTCAAAGCAAATAGAAACAGTGGGTATATAGAGTTTTAAAATAATGAGAGCTCCAAAATTTGTTAATTCAAGTGAAATTGTCACTTTTCAAGCATTTAAACACAACATTCTGAAATTTTCACTTGATAATTTTACTGAATGAAATTTCAAGCAATTATGAAGACCCAAATATCTAATGGTTTGCAATTTGGGAGCTAACGAATTACCTGAGTGCTTGTGAACGAGAAGCCAGGACAGGAAGGACATGCAGCATGGAGCCACCGTGACTATATAACACATGGCACCGTAAACCTCGAATTCGTAATAATTTACGAAGATCCTTAATAGAAGGAACCTACAAAAGCAAAAAATAAATATAAACTTTAGAAACTTGAAGCCCATAGTATTCCATGCCACAACATAAATTCGGCTTTCTTGGATCTTGACAAAGTTGCCTTGCTTTGGTTTTAATTTGCAGTTAGCAAGTGTAACGGTTTCATTTGAGGGAAGACAAAGTCCAAAAAAGGAAAAACATTAAAGCATGAAAGCAAACCAAACAAAGCTTAACAGATGTTGAGGGGTAGACATGTTAAAAGATATACTTTTTCGGTAAGAGAGTGATAACATTATCTCTCGCCTCTCAAATATTTTAGAAGAAAGAATGTATACTAACATATGACAAGAATAAAAAACTAATATAAACCACGATAACGACAATAAAAAATAGAAAACAGATTAAAAACCCAGATAACATAATATGAAAGAGAAACTCGATG